ACACTAAACCAAAACTAAATGCATTTTCTGGAAATGAACAAAGGCTTTCTGTCTTATAATTACAGGACATTTTCTGTAGTTTTATATGTTCGTTTCTAACAATGACATCCCAGAAAGTCATGCTGACTGATTCCTTTCAGCAGCATTTCTTTATCATGTAGAAACACTGAGACATAATGATCAAACTACACTTCTTTTTAATAATAACATAAGAAAAGATATCTCAGGGAATAAATGTGCAGCTGAACCTCTTTACACAAACAGAAAGGGACGTTTCACTGATCTACCCCACTAAAGATTTGCAAGAGTTGTATTGTTTTCTTGTTGTACAATCTTTTATCAGGGTGCCTGGAGACTTGCACACAGAACTGCTACTGCAGAATCAAATGTGAGTCAGTCCGTGTTAAGGCTGCTTGTTGTCTCCACCACCTCAGGTGTATTTAAATCGAGCTGCTGAAGGAAATCAGAACGTGTATGTGTGTGCGCTCTGACCTGCCATCCTCCAGCTGCAGCGCCCTCAGACCAGCCAGACAGGCCTGCTTGTTAACCCGGCTAAGGTCATCTCCAAGTATCAGCAGTGAGCACAGCCCAGTATAGGTCATAGCTACATGGCCACTGTCATATGGATGGAGCACACCTGGGCCCTGGAGAAAACATCAGCAGGAGATATTATTTTTACCACTGAAGCTATACGAGAAGAGATTGTAGACAGAATGGTAATATTTCTGACTACTAATCCTTCAGCTGGAGGGAAGAATAACAAAATATTTGGAGCAGGATTACCATAAATATAGAAAACAACAGAAAAATAGGGATAATAGTAGTGAAGCCGCCTCTAAGACTAATGCAAAAGAAGGTGATGCTTTAGTTTTTACAAAACATAACCTCAAAAAACATGCTGGGGTGGGCGATGGCTGTACCTTAGTGCTGTAAGGGATTCCAATATGTGATGATCCCCGAAACCCACATCGACTTAGGTTGGATTCTGAAAAAAGACAAGAGCGGAAGGAAGAGCAGATATTTAACAAAAGGTTGTCACTCTACACAGGTGAAGAAAAACTGGGACAAAGAAAGCATTACTAGATTTTTTTTTTTTAATTCTCCCGAAAAATAATAATATAAAAAGAACACTGCTGCCATCTCCTGGTTATGACAGAAACACCACTTACAGTGGACAGCACGCTCCAGCAGTTTCAACATACGATAATTAAACAGTTGTTACATGTCGCACGTTTATAACCATTACATCTACAGATCATTATGCCCTGAGTGGCAGGTGCTATTCGCACTTATTGTTGAGTTTATACTTGCTCCACAACACCTTTATCATTTTTTTGATGCATAAATATAAAGATTAAATCACTCGAAACATCTGCAGTTTCATGCCAGAGATCTATTTCCATACCAATGATACATTAGGAAATCTCGTGTGCCTCCTGAGTTGTGTTTTTCACACCTAATGACAAGAAATTTAATGTGACGCCAAACATATGGCAGCAACAAAACCGAGACCAATCAGGCATGGCTACCCCTCTGTAATTTCTGTTGATGGCTTGAATAATTAACTGAATGGGCATCTAAACAGATGGCACAGACTGGCTTGTTAGAGACAAAAAAACCCAAGTCATTAAAGATTTAGAGTCCAACTTTCCCTGACGAATGAATGAATGTAACAGGGTAAGCGAGGAGAACACCTGGAAGTTGGTAATGGTTTCATAATCCAGACTTTCAAGTTCGACAGCTTTGAAGTCGACAAACATGAAGAGAAAAACCTGAAATGTATCCTGGGGTAAAAATCTTAAAAAGGCAGAAAGCTGAACTTCTCAAGAGCCCATCAATCCCACAGTAACTCAGTCTCTCTGTAATATCCTGATGATATCTTAGGGACTAACACGCACTAACCCTCACCCCCTACCAGCATCCCGTTTGCTAACAGCACCAGAGATTGATGATGAATTCCATAATTTTCAAATCTTTTTGATTTATTTTCTAGTGCAGTTCAATTTAGGTACTAAACCAGTTAAACTTAACTGTGGAATCTTACACCAAAGAAACAGGGCACAAATGTAGGCAAAGATGCAATGCCTGATTAATGCATTCAGGAACTCTGACAGCTGTATTGCTCTACCACTTAATGTTAGCCTTTGTAAAAAGTAATATTCCTACTGACAATGATTTTTTTTTGCACTGCCAACTGCTAAATAGTTATAAAAGTAGGAAAATGTGTGACTTACGATCCTCAGTAGGCAGAACCTGTAGTGAGTAGATGTACTCAATCATGACGTTCCGATCAATCACTTCTAGGGCATCCAGCACATCCAGACCAGACAGGGCGAAAAACACGATGGTCAACCTAAAAACAAGGTGAGATTTACATTCATTTTTACTTATTACAAATATATTTGTGAGAATGCAAAAAATCAGAGGCAATGTAAGATGTGGTTTATTGTAGTGGTGTGCGGATACTGAAATATCCATTCCTCCGATACCAGTTATTTATGCTCTAGAATTGATTCTCATATTAAAATATTGATATTTTAGTAATTTGGGGTAAATTTGTAGTTTATCATTAACAGGAACACAGTGGAAAGAAACAATATCATTATGATCATCTAAATTGGAACTACTTTCTCTTCCGCCTTTCATAGTCATATGCGAAATACGGCTGTATAAATGTGTGGCAGCCCCTTGGCGTGCGCACTCACAACAATGGCTCATGTCAAAAAGCCAAGACGCGGTTTGCGATACATGTGGCAAGACAGTGAGGTGTTGTGGCAACACCGCTAACCTCGTCAAACACCTCAGAGTAAATCATATAAGAGAATATGACGAGCTTATGTTGAGGCGAACGGAAGAGGAGGAGAGGGACAGGCGCTGCTAGGGCGAGACAGACGTCTCTCAAACATCTTAACACTTTCAGCTCCACCTCCTGTTTTCTAGTTAGTGCCACCGTTACTAAACCATATATCACAGTAGTTCTCATTACCATCTTGTAAACCTTACCTTTCACTCTTTCTGCTATCCTGACAATCACTCCACCTTGCCTGCACTCTCTTCTTCACCTCTTATTGGACGGTTCATCGCTTTGGATGGTTGATGTCAGGTACTTATTTTTCTTCACTGTGACACCTCCTTCCCTATCATTCACATACATTTCTGCCATTTGCGCAATATCTCCAAAATTAGAAACATCCTGTCTCTAAGTGATGCTGAAAAACTAGTTCATGGATTTATTACTTCTAGGCTGGACTACTGTAATTTGTTATTATTAGGATGTCCTAAAAACTCCCTGAAAAGTCTTCAGTTGATCCAAAATGCTGCAGCACGAGATCTCACAGGGACTAGCAAGAGAGAGCATATTTCTCCGATATTGGCTTCTCTGCACTGGTTCCCTGTTAAATCCAGAATTAAATTTAAAAACCTGCTCCTGACATACAAGGTCTTGAATAATCAGGCGCCATCTTAATGACCTTACAGTACTTATCACCCATAGAAGCTTCTCTCACACTGCAGGCCTTACTTGTGGTTCCTGGGTATTTAAAAGTAGAATGGGAGGCAGAGCCTTCAGCTTTCAGGCCCCTCTTCTGTGGAACCAGCTCCCAGTTTGGATTCTGGGGACAGACAGCCTCTCTACTTTTAAGATTAGGCTTAAAACTTTCCTTTTTGATAAAGAATATAGTTAGGGCTGGACCAGGTGACCTTGAATCCTCCCTTAGCTATGCTGCAATAAAAACTTTCCTTTTTGATAAAGAATATAGTTAGGGCTGGACCAGGTGACCTTGAATCCTCCCTTAGCTATGCTGCAATTGATGTAGGCTGCTGGGGGATTACCATGATGCTTCTTCAGTCATCTTTTTCACTCACTGTGCATTTATACACCTCTGCATTTAATTATTAGTTATTATTAATCTCTGTCTCTCTTCCACAGCATGTCTTTCTCTTGTCTTCATCCATTCACCCCCAACCGGTCATGGTTCTTTGTATTATTGTAGGGTCTTTACCTGACAATATAAAGCACCTCGAGGCAACTAGCTTGGCGGTATATAAATAAAACTGAATTGAACTGAAATATTCCGTCTTGCTTCTGGTGACTTTCATTACTCTTTTATGGATATCTCTCAACCACCTGCTTCGTGTTCTTACTTCAGATCACAGCCTAGTTAGCCAAGTAAGTACTAGTTAGTACTTACTTTTCATTTCATTTATTCTGCTTAAACTATGGTAAACCTCTCAGTTCGTTCTACATTAGAGAAACATTTTCTTTATAGCGAAACACTAGTTTATAGTTTGTAAAGCGGCGTTTTCCGTTAATTAAATAAAAAAGTTGAAACACGTACAGAGTTAATATTCAAATTTACAAATTACAGTTCGCTGCAACACTTAGGTGAGACCAATTCCCTTGATGACTATGATAATAACATGACCTATCACTTAATAATAAACACCTCACTGCATTGTGTTAATACATCTGTTCATCTGCCATAACTTGGCTAAGCTGGTGCTTGCAGTTATGCTATGCTACTAGCATTAGCCTCCATTCAAAACTGCTTGTGAAGACCACCTAGCTTAGCTGCTAGTGAAGTTCTTCCACAAAACACACAAACTAGAGCATCTTTGTTGATTTCGGTGAACTGACCTGGTCGTTTCCAGCGAGGCGTATCTCTCAGGTAACACCTGAAGTGTTCGCTGAAAGAATCGTACATGTCGATCTCTTAAAAAGTCTATTTGCTCAAATTCTTCAAACTCGTTCTCCTCTTCCGCCATCTTTGCTTTCGCACCTATGAGAATCCTTTTCCGGTACGTTTAAGTTTCAAAATAAAAGCTCATACTACTTCGATGTACCTAAAGTGTAAACGGCACATCACAATAAAAATCTTTATTTTAAAAATAACAGTTTCACAGTTTAAAATTGAACTGAATTGCACCTTAAAAGTTATATGACAAATTAAAAAGGGACAATTCGGGCGGTGTATATCTTTATTTTCTTTAAAAAATAGAAAGGATTCTGAACACAATGCAGGACTCTTCATCACAGGCCTTGTCTCCAAGTTGGAACAGCTCTGTAACAAAAAGAACATTTCAGTCATTTAGAAATAAATTACTCATTATTACCAAATGTTTCTTGACAGAAACTTGAACGATTTACAGAAAAAAATTAAGTTTAGGAGGCAAACCTGTGAAACATTTGTAGCATTGGCCCATCTCCCGACGGTCCAACGTGTTTCAGCCGCTCCTCCCATCCCTTCGTAGGGCGGGTAAGCCTGGACGGGTCTCTGTTGACATGATTGTCCACCTGAATGTGGAAAAAAAGGACAAAACGTCAACCTTTTTCCCACACGCAGTTTAATCTTCTTATTTCAAGATTTCACAATGATGATTTTCCGATTTAGTGACTTAACTGTTACTTTTTCCACAAGAAAACAAACCTCTCACCTTCTCCTTCAACTTGGCAGCGAGTCTCCTCTGCCTTTCCTCTTGCTCTTTTTCCCTCAGCTGTTTCTCATGGCGCTTTGCCTCCACCCTATGAAGATCCTGCAGAAAGGCAGAGACGAGCCTTGTATTTCTCAGTGTTTTGACATCACAACCTCGCCTGATGAAAACCGCGCTCTTATCTAGAGCAACATCCTGTTTAACACCAGAAATCTGAAAATCTGGCATTTTACAGCAGTCACTTAAGGCATCTCAGTTTAAAACACGCAAACATCGCATCTTGTGTTTCCTTATGTCTGTAATTTTGGCACTTTTGTACCCTTTCATTAAAACGCCTGATGCTCTTTGTCGCCTCCTTTCTCCTCTCTTCTCTTTCTCTCTCTTCTTCTGCTCTCCTCCTCCTCTCTTGTTCCTCCTCTTCTACTCTCCTCAGTCGGAGCTGCTCCTCTACGGTTAGCTTCACTTCCAGCTGCCGGCGGCGCTCCTCCTAATAAAAAGTATGAATACATTATTGGTTAAAGTAAAAAGCAGTTCAGAACACAACATGCACATATTTACTCCTTGGTTTTACTCTGTATTTTCATTTTTACATTAAATGAGTGCATAACTACACAGAAGTGCTCCCTGACTAAACTAAACTACAGCGACAGTAAAATGACACCCGAGCACAAAAGCACCTTTTCCCGTTTCCTCTTTTGAATCTCTTCAGCCAGTCTTTGTTCCTCTTCCTGCTCCTCCCTCCTTTTCTTTTCTTCCCTCCATTCCTCCAGACGCCGTGCCATCTCCCTCCTCTCCTCCTCAGTCCTAAAACAAATTATATACCATGAACAAACGACACCCCCAAAAATCCATCAATCAACTGGGTGCTCATAACATGAGGTGGGATTTACAACATTGGGTTGAATTTAACCGGCATAGCTAGGAGATCAACCCGCCTGCATCATCTCCTTTTTATTTCATACTAGTGTGTCACACTCCTGGCTCACCTGTGTTGCTGGGCCTGGCTTTTGGCCTCCTCCTCCCTCCTTTTTGCCTCTTCTGTCTTCTCCTGAGTCTGTATCCTGATCTGGTGTTCCTGATGCTTGCTGGCTTTCCAGCGCTGAATAGCCTGCATGTGGCATAAAAATAAGCAGTGACATAAGAAACCACAAAATACTTAACAAGCAGCAGCACGGGTTGCAAACAATTCTTATGATGTGCTGTCTATTTAATGTTAACACATAAAGAAAATGTGAGGTAATGTTCAATCATCGCCATTTTTTCAAACGAATCGGGGGGGATATGTAGTGAAGATGAAAATCGAACTCTTTATGATTGCTTAGTTTTCAGTTAAAAACAGTGGACTGTCAGCAGAACTTCTGCGCTGATGTTTTAAGTCTCCCCTCATAATAAATTATTAAAAGCTTTTTGTAACTCTGTCTGAAAACTCAAAGGTCAAACTGGCTCACCATCAATGAAACTCAAAGGTTATTGTAGGATGAGCTAAAAGTGAAGTTCACAGGTGCTTTTTCTCCAACCTCACCTTCACGTTTGTCTAATGTGCACATATATAGATAATAGTTGGATTTCTATTCTGCTCAGACATGTTTTGTCATTACCTCTTTCTTCCTGTCCTGCAGGTAGATGAGCTCCTGATGCCATTCCTCGTGTTGCTCTATCTCCTCCATTGTTCTACCAGGCAGATACAGCTTGGCTTCTTTCCTGTAGCCCGGCTCCCCACTGTGCTTCACCCAGACCTGTGAGTCAGATTACAGACAGACAACCGCGCTGAGGTCACCAAGCTTTGGGCTGGCAGCTGCTGAGTCTGCCCGTTAGTTTAATCAGTAGTGTTTGACCGTATGACATGATCGGCAAGTGAAAGGAAGAGAAATAACAGTAATGGTTTACTTGCTTTAAGAAAAGCTTCATGGTCATATTGGTCCCAGCCACCATAAGGGCCTCCAGTCTTCTGCAGGAAAACCTCCAGCGCTCTGACTTCTGCTGGCAGGTCTCTGTCGGGTGGTTTGGTCTTATGGAAAAGAGGCAGCTATGAATTCAGGGTGCATTTTGAAATAAAGTCAACTGCCACTGTGTTGGTTAGAGAGATATTTATTTATCTTATTCTAATTCTGAGACTTCTCACTGAAACTCATCTCTCTAATATTTTACCACCTAACTGACAAACACGAGAGAAAGTTCAGAGAGGAGGAAGACGAGACAGAGACACACCCTAACAGTGGGAGCTGCGGGTAGTTTGGGATTCGTTTTGACAGCAAGGCTCCAGTTTTCAATCTTCTTCTCATAAGCGGTGATTTCCTGTCTGCATGTCCACTCTTCCTTCAAAAATTCCTCAAAGCTGAACGAAAAGCAAATCAATTTTAACAAAATATTGACATCAGTACAAAAGTTCACCCCCAGAAAATATTAAACGGTGGCTGCTCTTTCTCTCCTTTAACGTACATAAAGCTGGAATCATGTGCGAACGAATGCAACATGTACAAGTGCGATGTACCTGCTTGCTTCACTATGTTAAATATTATTACATTTTAAGTTAAAGGTAGTTTACTTTAATATGGATGACATATTTTAAAATGGATTTTAAGCCTCTACATCTAACTCAGCTTGTTTGGTTTATGCTGTTACCGTGAGCGCTGTTCCTCCTTCACGCTGTTAATAGAAATTTCCACCTCTGACATGATTTCCTTCAGTTTTTCAATCACTGAAAATCCAAGAAATGCAGAGACAATAAGAACTCTATACATATAACAATGCAGACAACTTTATTGAGCAGTGCACTACTCAGATGCATCGAGTATTTCCTTTTCAGTCACTTTTCTCACTCAACAAGTGTTAATAGACCTCTCTGCTGAATCACACTTGTTATTAATCTCTGGCTCTCGTCCACAGCATGTCTTTCATCCTGTCTTCCTTCTCTCTCCCCAACCGGTCGCAGCAGATGGCTGCTCCTCCCTGAGCTTGGTTCTGCTGGAGGTTTCTTCCTGTTGAGAGGGAGTTTTTCCTTCCCACTGTCGCCAAAGTGCTTGCTCATAGGGGGTCACATGATTGTTTTTTTTTTCTCTGTATGTATTATTGTAGGGTCTACCTTACAATATAAAGTGCCTTGAGGCGACTGTTGTTGTGATTTAGTGCTATATAAATAAAATTGAATTGAATTGAATACTCTGCAATAGTGGAAATTAAATTAAAGAGGACCTATTACATTCATTTCCATTTCCAGCTATTTACTCTTGGATCTTTACTACATCAGCTTTGCATGATTAAAAGTTCAAAATCATCCCCATTTATTTCATAGTAAGTCTCGTTTACTCTGAAATGAGCTGTTTTAGCTCCTTGTCCTTTAAGTAATATTTTTATGACTGGCTGCCAATCGAGAACAGAACGCTTAAATAGCAGCTGGAGTAAGATGTCCATATTAGGGATATCCCATCTCTTTGACATCATCCAGACCCAGGAGCAGAAAAAAACAGTCTAAAGGGGAGTTTTAAGCGAGGTCTGAAGCCTGAGCTTGTGGCTCACAGGGATTTCTTGCACAAATACCAGCTATTACTAATTAAAACCCTCACTCTGTTTAATGTGAGCATTTACCATCAGTATAATATATATGACTGGAATAAGGAAAAGCAGAAATGGTCCACTTTAACATAAATGAGTAAAAACTTACACTCCGGAGTTGGTTTCACATCAGTTAGATGTCTTTGAAATTTCCTCACACCATTATGAATCTTCATGAGCTGCTTTTGAAGATTTATCTCTGAAGAAAAAAGAACAGGTTAATGAAAAGCGATATTCATCACAAAGGATGGATGCTTCTTCTAATAAATGTTTATTGCTATGCCTCCAGTTCCAGAGATTCCAGCCTCTCTGGATCTGATAATAAGTCTTCCCAGCAGGGTATTTTATACCCCACAGAAAAAATGCCGAGTGAGATGCCCCGTCACCTCGCAACATTAAAATGTCAGGTGAAAATGTTAGTATATGTAAAGAAAGACCTACTCTCAGCATTTCTTTGTCCCTCCAGCACATTCTCGTACTCTTCGATCTCTCCACTCACATCCGCCCAGCCATTCTTTCTGCACTGAGAAATCAGCGTCCTCTCTTTCTCCAACTTCTCAATCCTATGAAAAGTTCAGCGATTCATTTGATCTGTTACACATTATTACAAATAATCTGATTTCACCTTATTAGAACAATTAAAATTACAAGTAGACATGGTCAAGATGACCTGTGATTAAAATTATCTTCAGGGTTTAGAGAGAATGGTCTGAAAAAGAGGAAATATCAAGCAGTTCAGGCTGCTGGTGGTGATGTAATGGTGTGGGGCATATTTTCTTGGCACACTTTGGGACCCTTAATACCAACTGAGCATCGCTTAAATGGCACAGAGTATTATTGCTGACTGTTTCCAACTCATCTTCAGTGAATGAGAAATCAAGATAACATCGATATGAAACTTTTGACGATGTAAATAAAAATATGTGTTAGAAATTCAATTTAAACGCAGAAGAAGTGACAGCAGCAGTATTACTTACTGCCTCCTGTTCCTCTCAGCCTCCCTGAGGAACTGTGCAGTTTTCTGTGTGGCCAGTCTGTGGTCCGCACTTTGACCGCTGAGCAGGGGTGATGTGCATGGCTGCAGGACACTAGGCTCTTCCTCCCCCTGCTCATATTCAGTTAGTGTTAGTAAAACACAAGTGCTGCTCATGCCAACAACCTCAGGTGTAGATTTTTTGCATTTTCAAAAGTCCAGAAAGTTCTGTCCGATAATAAATTCACAGTCTACTCAACGACATTGGCATCTGTAACCATGTTATTTATACAGCATCCATTATCGGACAAACGCAAATTTAGCAACAAAAGCTCTGAAAAACATTTCAAAAACAATGAAACTATTAATGGCGCGCGTATGTCAGAGTCCTGCATACTACTGATTAGCGCAATAAACAAATCTGTAAAATTACCAAGCAGTTTCGTCTCTTAAAGCTAAGTTTGCTACCTAGCACTGACTAACGTTAGCTCTTTAGACTTTCAGATGGCCCGAAAACTGAAAGTAAAACGCGCCGAAAAGAAAACAAAACATATCATTCAAATACAGCCGGCTGACTAATGTAAGGCAGTTTAGGAATAAATGAAATAATGAGCACTATGACAGATACCGAGTAATGTTTATCATCCTCCCATGCAGTTGCTAGGGCAGCCATGTTTGGAGTGGAGTACTTCTGCAGTCACTGGTTTGTACCAGCAGAGGGCGCTGCTGTCATTAAGGGACTGTGGTATAACAAGTGACTGTAGAAGAACCGTTGACTGCCCGTAGCTGTGTATGACTGTATGCATGTATATGTATATGTATATGACTGTATATAACCACGAAGAAAACCTTACACAAACATGTTTCATCCTTTCAGCCAGTGTGAAGCTGTCACATGGATACCACGCTCACTCCTTAAATGTTTTGTTATTCATAACCACAATCTTTTCCTGCCACTGCCATGTGGTTTTATTCCCAGCCTTGTAGTTTTGCATGTTTTCTAGAAGATACGCAAAGTTAAAAGCCAGAAAAGTCAGTGAGCCAAAGAAATATTGAAATCTTCCTTGAATTAATAATCTTTCAATTGCTGAAAGTTGATTTAGTGTGGCCCAATAAAACTTACGAAGTATAAAAAGTCTTCAAAGAGTATTATTCCGTGTTTTCCTTTCAGTCTCTGTAACCCAGTTCTCGAGTTATAAAATCTGACGGTACCCTGCAGCTTGATAGTTAAAGTTACCTATATGCCTCTCACTCTCTAAAATAACCGCCTGCGCAGTGTACCGAGGCCTCGGCTATTTCTGTAACAGCTTTTTCACGATGGCCAACAGCTATAATTATTATGAGTCTTGCCAAAGTGACAGTGACAGAGACACTGAGAGAAAGAGAGTGAAGGCAGTATAAATAGAAACCTGAATCCATTATTGAGTGCAGATATTGGGGATGGTCTCTCCCTCGGGTGCAGAGGCAGAGTTGTGATCGCAACATAAATAGCAACCGCTCTCCTTAATGGAGAGTGTTACAATTTCCTGTCCTCATCCTCAGCAGAGGGACCCACTTAATTTGATAAAAGAGGCAATCAGATGACTGGTTGGCATGACAGATCAAACAAGTGGGTACAGCTGGGGATTTCCAGACCACATAGTTTGTATCTGCATACAAAAATGTAAATGTCAAGGAGAACAAATGAAAGCAGCTTGAAGATGACATAACTCGTTAGCTAATGCTAACTGGCATTAGCTCGGCAAAACAACTCATAACTCAAAGTTCACCTACTACCACGTGTCTATATCTGGCTGTCATAAGTTAAACGTGTGATTAGATATGTGTCATAGCAACAGTACAGGAGAAATACTCAATATAAAATTAGCAGTAGCACAGAGTGGAAGTTAAAAAACAGTTGTTTAATTCAACATTTTATTCAATAAATCCCGTGCACCACCACCGTCCTGAGATAATGTTAGCTGAGGAAAGTTGCATTAAATCAGCTCGACTGAAACACCATCCAACACTGGACACAGCGTGATATTCTGAGCAAGCTAATGGCTCAGCCACAGGAGTAGAAATTGTGCAGCAACCTCCTTGCAAGTATAAAAGAGCATTAAAAAATAATATTTAAAAAAAATGTGAAGTTTCTTTTAAATGAGAAGCACCAGATATGAGATTTTCTAATGATTTATCATAGTTAATTGCTGTGTTATCAGAAACAGATTGCATGCAGTTGCCACCTTGACCCCATTTGTTTGCAGACTGATAGCAGAGTGACTCCAGCTTCTGGAAACATTTTATGGCAGGCTTTAGTAAAAGCGTTTGTATGCTTGACAATCTTATTGGATAAAAAAATAAAGACAAAATTTATTTGTCTTTATTTAAAACGATTTTTATAGTTTCAAAATAAAGTGCAATATTCAATATTCACTATAATATAGTTTCTAATGTTTTGAGTCCTAAAATCCTGCCATGATGTTTCTTTACCGCTTATCCAGCTTAGAGTCCCCGGGCACTGGAGCCTATCACAGCTGTCTCTGTGTGAGGAGTAACTCAAATAAATGACATACAAAGAACTCAGAGTAAATGCACTTTTTCTTTTTTAGAATTAGGTCACAAAACCGATTAAAACTTAAGTCAAACTTTCGTAAGTCAATGTTAAAATCATGTCTTAAAACTGGAAGGCATGTGGATGAGGCAATACAGGTAGGAGAAAGAATGAAAGAACCTCTGACATGACCTCTGACCTCTTACTTAAGAGCCAATGAGCTATTTGGAAATGTTATGACACACGATCGCTGTAAACTGAGTGGACAGTTTTGCATTCTTGAACGGTGGAAGTATCAGTGTCACTCATGCCAGATCTTTAAATTGAAATTTATGCCATTCTTCAAACTGTGTGTGTGTTTCCCATAGGAAAGCATGAACACACACATACATGATGGCTGTTTAACAATCTATCCAAGGGGACTCCCATGCCTCTAGTTTTAGTTTTAAATGTATTAAGTTATATCTGCTACCTGCAGGTATAGGTGCCCAGCTAAGATATTTATGGACAATAAAGATGTGAAGCTTTCTTTATGCTATTACCAAAGACATCCACAGTATTGAGGAAGTTGTCTGGGCTCTGGGGCACAGCAAAGCACATCTCATCCCCTCTGGGGATGGGAAAAACTTCTTACTGATAGAAATAATGTCAACTAAATTTTGTTTTTGAACCCTTTTACGTCTTGGAGCTCTTTCCTTCGATTGCATGCCTGCCAAAAGTTCAGGCTTGTTTTACTTTTAGTCTCTATTCCTGTCCCCCTTTTTATCTTATTTGCCTTCTCCAACTATGGCCTCTTTTCTTTTGCCAAAAATGAAACAAAAAAAGCCCAATGAGACCTAGTCCAGCTGTTCCAACATCCAACTAACTGAGAAAAGGGAAAGCGACATTTCTCCTGTTCTCGTTTCGTTGTAAGGTTGTGTCTTAATTTTGCACCCAGATGTAGGTGTGACAGTGAAGCTTACAGAAAAGTGTTATTTAGCTAATGCAATAGCTTATCTGTTGCCCATTTAACAGGTTCATTTGACCATGCATGCGCAGGCAGTTGCATATCCATCACTGTACCCTAAATCTAAATCTTCTAACATGTCTTCAACATAAAAAACTGAGTGATCTGCATTGTAGTGGAGTGGATTTTTGTCCACTTAAGACAGTTCCAGTCTGTGATGTGACTGTCTAAACAGATTTAGGTCCTCACAACATGAGCAATGCCGTGCACCCGCATACGCAGAGTTTGTTCTGACACCTGCTGTAATTGTATACGGTGCTACAAAGCAACACGATCTGACTGTGCCCTGCGCATGTTGAGCATGTTAGACCCATACAGGATGCCATCCGGGGCGGACACATGCATTTCTGTATGTGTGTGTATGTGTGTGTTTGTATGCATTTCAGTAAATCACTTGTGTTCTAAGGACTTGAGTAGGCAGTAGGAAAGCGATCAGTCTAATTGCTTTTCCCGCTGTACTTCGTACTTGTACGTCCTCTCTGACGTCAGCACATAAATGTTTCTGCAAATGTTTCTTTCGCTCTGACCTTCTGGTCATTTATTGTGAGTGTGTTAATGCCTTTATTTCTTTTATTCTTGCCCTTAACATAACCATATTTATCGTCTGCAGCCAGACTTTGTAGGAACTCTTGCTTCAAAAATGTCAGTTTTGCACCTCTTTCAGTGATCAGAGGAGACGTCTGAGGAGAAGCGATATCGACTTTTCTCTTATTCTTACTTTTGGACAGTTGACAGTTAAACAGTTGCTTTATTTCACACAGCTGCAGGGCATGAAATGGGGGTAATGACTGGTCTAGAAAGCAATAATGCAACAGCTTGGACAGGGTGAATGTTTGGCATGCAAACCTCAGCGGTCTCTGGAGTCCTGCTAACTTCAGTCATCCTCTCTTCTGACCTTTCATTCAACACCACCAGTGGGCCGTCGTTTCTGCTCATCCAGCACTCCGCTCTATGCAGGATGGCTGAAATCAGCTGCAGTATCATTGCACCTTTACTTGTTAAATAAGTGGCAGTTTAATAAGAATCATTAAAAGGAGAAAAACCTGGTGGCCTTAACTTTTTATGAAAGGTTGGAAACATTTTAGTAGCATGCTTGCTGTGAAAAACGTATGCGCAGCATATTTGAACTGCTGATTTAGCCCTTCCTTTAGCTATTTTTACTCTCTGACCGCATTGCTAATAAAAATCATGGTACAAGTTCCTGAATGAAATACTTAAAGGAAGCTATATCAGCGTAGGCAGGAAGTCACACAAAAATGAGTAGACGCTTGAGAGATAACAACCCTGAATGTCATACAGGGACAGTCACAGCCGCACTTCCAGTCATGCCGAAAGCTATACATTCTGCTTAGCTTTAACAAAAAACGTTATATTACTACCAACACTTAGAAACAAATCAGGTTTTACTGTTTGCCTTCCACTTTTATGTGAGAGAGCCTCTGGATAAGAGGCCCTCTCACATGACTCTTTACCTCAACAACCCTCTCAGATAAGGGATGTACAAGCAAGGCTTTTCACTGCTGACCTCAGATAACCTGTAGAGAGGGTTATGTTGTTAGTCTAATGCTTTATATAGAGTGGCAGGGCTCTAAATCTTACATAATATATACACACATGCACCGCACATACCTACGCCCAATGTGCACTTTTATGGGTTTTAATGGAAATATCTAATCAGCCAATCACGCAACAGTAACTCAAATAGTTGTTACAGTGAAGGTGTGCAGAAGAGTATCTGTAAATGCATAACACAATGGACCTTGAAGCAGACTGACTTCAGCAGCAGAAGAGCACACCAGGGGCCACTCTTGTTAGCTAAAAACAGGAAACAGAGGCTAGCGCTAGCAAGGCTAGGTTTGGTCAGAAATTTGTGTAAACAACGTGAAGCGTGGCTCCATCCTGTCTTGTATCAGTGTTTCAGGCTGTTGATTGCGATGTAATGGTGTAGGAGATATTTTATTAGTATGCCTGTAATACCAGCTTAGCACCATTTAAGCACCACATCCTACCTGAGTCTGACCGTGCCTTTATGACCACAGTGTACCCATCTTCTGACGCTTCCAGCAGGATAACATCCCGTGTCACGAAGCTCAAATCATCTCAAACGGGCTCCTTGAACACATCAGTGAGTTCCCTGTACTCAAATGGCCTTTACAGTCACCAGGTCCAAGTGTAAAAGAGCACCTTTGGGATGTGGTTGAAGTACCTATGATCTATGCATATCTAAAGCTTACCCAAATAAAAGATACAACAGAAGCAGCTAACATTACTTCATATGCAAATATGAAGTAAGGTTCCCTGAATGGCTGTCACAGAACTGTTAATTTCATCAGCTTGGGAGTTTTGACCATTAGTCACATAATTGGAGGCAGTTAAATTTCTTTAAAGACTTTAAAGACAAGCTTTATGGAAGTGTAAAGCTGCCACCCAGACAAAAGAAAAATAGAGCCATATCACGTTATAAACAGGGGTGCACATAAGGAGTCCGCAGGTGCGCCTGGGCTGTCAAAATAAAAGACGCGCACCAGATAAGAAGTTGCAATGTGCATTTGCGTACATATAAAAAGCACTGTTTTTGTCCGCTAGAGTGGGATTTTCATGGCATATTCTGCACCACATCTCAGTGCGTTCATCATTTGTTTGAAGCCAGCTCACCTCCTGCAACCACTTTTCCGAGAATAAGCGCTTCTTTTGCGGTTCAGAGTCTTTCTAACATTTCTTTGGAGGTGGAGGAACACCAAAGTAATTGCTTAAAGGAGCTTGCTTCTTCGACATCTTCTAAACAAATGTCTGTC